GGGGGGGCGTACTCTTATGTTTTGGATGCCTTAGCGGTTAGACCATTGACCACGCGTCCTCGAGAGGACGGAGGGGAGGGGGCGGGAATATTTGTTGCACGAGAGAACGGTGGCGCACGCGTGACAAACGCCATGGGGCGGCTTCTTCGCATCCTGCTTGCAACCCCGGTTCTCGCCGAAACGTGCCACCGGGAAAAAATCTGGACTGGTTGCATAAAATGTTCGGCACTTAGAAAAAGTACCGACGACTATTGACCGACGTATGCACACAAGGGATGTGGTGGCACCTCTCAAGGGTGAACAGAAGCTCCAGGGCGAGACAGGCCACCGGGGCCACCTCAAGGGCGTCCCCTCCCCCAATCTTGGCGCAGGTATTGCTCAGGCGTGCCAGAAAGTCGGGAGCACCGGCTTCGGCCTGAACAGCATGACAGGGGTTGCAACGACAAACCAGAGAAGACATGCAAAGCTGGGTTGGTTGGTTGAATTGCGGTTTTGAAGAGCGAGAATGCACTGCTGCTGTGAGTCCTAGCATTATCATCGTTCTTGTGATGATCCAATCAATTCCCTAAAACTGCGAGGTGCTGCTGCTGCTGCTGATGCTGCTGCTGTGCCTTTCGATTAATTTCCTCAAGTATCACCTTTCGAACGGCAGCTTCTGCGCAGTAAGGGAGCCACACCGCCGGAGGCACTCGAAGCAATTCCTCTCCCACCCTTTCCATGGGCACAGAGCATTGGGGCGGGCGGAGGGGAAGGCTGTCAGGCTTTGGTGACAACCGCAGGCTAGTAGAACCTCTTTTCTGTCTGCTCGCAAGGGGTGGTCGGCAAAGATACATGTCAAAGACGTCTTGCTGTAGTTGGTCGTTGACGTCTTCACATGTAACAGCGGTTCCGGTCTCTGCACAGTATCCGCCTTAACATCCGAACCGGACCGGTCTAACTGACGCGAACGTGTTCCTTTCCGTTGTCACAGGAAAACAAGACCCAAAAACCGGGTAAATAAGGTTCAGGGTACACACCGCGGAAAATCTGCCAATCCCAAAATAAATGACACCGACAAGAAGACCATGTTTTCCAGTAGACACAACGTGCACTCACTAGCACCAGATCAATTTTTTACCACCATTGCCGCTATGTCAACAGGCTGGCTCGCCCGGCAACGACATTGTGGCAAAAGGCTAAATTTATTCTTGAATAGAAGTACTTATTTGTTCATGCTATCCGTTTCTTACCTTGCAGGGCGTGGCCCGCAAAGCAACCCATAGCCCTTCGCGCCGCTCCTCCTCACCACCAAGGGAAAGCTCTCGGAAACTTCTTCGTTGGCCGCCAGGAAGCCCTGCAAAGACAGACACAAGCACAAGAGACCGGACGCTGCGTAGCCGTAGGTGTGATGTTGGCCAACACAAACATAGTACCTGACGGTGGGGTCCACGAAAAGCGGGGGAGGAGTCCGTCGTTGTTTGCGTTACAATACAATACAATACAATGCTGTAACCGGGTGCGTTTTGGCTGACGCTGCCGCAATGCGCCCGCCTAACAAAAAGCAATCCGCCGCGTCTTCCGTCTCGTCTCTGGGTTGAGTGTCACGGCCACCGGCTGCTGACACGGCGGGCCGGGTACACAGTGAGAGCTACAGGTAGTGGGTCGAGAAAGCAGAGGGAACACAGAGCAGCCCATATACCGATGTACCTCTCTACCAAGGCTGGCTGCAGTCCAAGCCGCGCGCTCGATGTACTCACGACAAGGCGTGCGCAACGGGCATATTCACAGCCGTACGTTGCGTAAGATACCACACCCCTCGGATAACTTCGCAAAGAAAGTGCAATTTCTCTGCGGCAACAAACATCGACAGAGCCGAAAGTGGGGGGCGGTGGAACCGTCTCGATGAGAGTTTTCCGAAAAAACACACACCACTTCATCCCGGCATCCTCTTCGTTGTGGAGTAGTCGAGCTTTGCACATCCGTCAAACGAACGGCGGCTGCTCCTGGCCCCTACGAAATTTCACTTTCGCACCCGTCAATCTCGTACACCATACAAGCACATGCTGCATGCGTGTGTGCCCATACCGAACGCGAACGCTGCTGTTGTTCAAAAAACAACAACCGTTCCACGACCTCCTCACACAAGCCAAACATTCATTGTGCGGTGTAAGCAGCGGTGAAAGCACAGCTGGACGCAAGTGACCTACCCACCCACTTGTCTTGACAGGGATTTTTCTCTCCATACGCTACAGTAGTATTGTAGTCTGCTTTGTCTTACCTTCGTATTGCAGGAGAGATAATCGGCGAAACCGCTCGCGTGGGGTCCTAGGGCCCTCAACCTCCCGACGGCAGCGCGAACGGGAGTCCCCATGTTAGTCTTATTCCTTGTCGCCGTGGTGTGTGTGTCTTCGTTCTATTTGTTCTCTTTGGCAAAATATTTGCGTGCAGTATCTTCTGTCGACCGTCGATTCTGTTGTTGTTGCCGTGGATCGCGCAAGAAGGTGCTCCTTCCTAGGTGGGTTACTGCTGGGGTTCGACAACAAAAAAAAAAGTGGCGACGGCAGCTCAGAAAACAGACAAAAAACATGCTTAGCGATGTGGTTGTGAAACGTACGCGAAACGCCACATGTAGAGGTAAGCACCTAACTTGACGAGGGATCGTTTTTCTCCCTATCCGAGGGTGCACGATAGAAAAGATAAAACGAAACACCTGCCTAACAGAGCTGTCGAACTTGAAATCAAATCAGGGGGGGTGGGCTGCTGTAATTCCTTTGGGCAAAGAAATTTGAGCATTTATTATACATTTGTTGCGTTGATTAAGGCTAAGAAACAAATGGGTTTAAGAGCTTGGCCATCAGCACAGGTTCTCAGACAAGAATCCAATATATACTAAAAAACAGATAATATCGCTGTTCGGTTCCCTTGAGGGAAATCAAGGAACGAGCCTCGCCAAAACAGGAGGTTGTCAAGTGCGGCCGCTAACTGTAGGGTACCCCTCCGACAGATAGATGCCGGGCTACTAGACGGGGGGGCGCACCGCCAAGAGGGTCGCCAGGTGAACAAAATTAGAGGAACACAAATAAATGTCAGGCATAAACGCAGAGTAAGCCCCGAACCCAGTAACCGTTCAAAAGACTCCATTCAACACTTCGACGACTATGTGTGGTATTATCTCCAACGGGTGATGCTGTAGTAGTTCTGTGGTCAATGTTGTAGTAGTTCTGTGGTCAATGCTGTAGCAGTTCTGTGGTCAATGTTGTAGTAGTAGAGCACGGTACATAAGTAATATGCGTGCATACATTTTCAAAAAATAAAGAACGTGCGCCCGTCTGATCAGAAAACCACGCGCTTCGGTTGAGCCGTGCATGCATGTCGGGTGGCGACCAGGGCTACAGCAGTAATCAGTGCAGGTGCTTGGGTACCGGGGTGGCGAAGATCAGGCGAAGGGGTTCGTTTTTGGGCAAGAACAATGGGGCTCCTGGAAGAAGGCGTCCGGAGGGGGGGGGGGGCTGCGTCCCCCCTACAC